AAGGGCTCCTCCGAGGTCGATTTCTCTGAGGGAAGACTCCCAGTGTACCCCATAATGAATCCCGAGGACCTACTGACAGGTAGGTCCCCAGTGACAGGTGCCGGGTGCTGTCACTGGCACCAGATACAGCATTGAACAAGACAGATGTGGTCCCTCTGCTCTCATGGGACCGACATTCAGGAGAAGCCGGGAGACCAGAAAGTCTCAGGTAATGATAAGTGGGAAGAATAAACCAATAGGCCCAAATGAGACGTGATGAGCTACTTTGAACTCTGTGTTCCGGGAAGGACGCTGAGAAGAGAACATTCAAGCTGAAAGCCACGTGACTAAGCAGGGACAGTCATTGCAGGCAGAGGAATTAGTTTGTGCAAAGGCCCTGTGGCAGAAGACAGCTTATGTAGCCCAGGAGCAGAAAGATGACTACTGAGACTGCAATGAAGAGGGCAATGGGGGTGGGGGGAAGGGTGCAGGGTGAGGCTAGGGGCACATCTAAACCAGAAAGGGCGGTTGAATTTTATTCTAAGTGCATGGGAAGGCTTTGGAGCATCTTTAGAATGATTTGATTGGATTCAGAGATATGCACACAGCCCAAAGAAACACACAGCATCCTAAGCTGCCAGGACCAGAACTGGGGGCAGACAAGTAAGGTGGTCAGGGTGGGAAATGCAAGGAGACCCTCAATCTCAGATCTGTCTATGTGCTGACTTTTCCTGGCCCTCAGTCCCCTCTCCCAAACCCTGCACAGAAGCCACCTGATGACTGAATCACATGACCAGTCTCACCCTCTCAGCAAACCCGCCCTCCCTGTCTCACCTGCTCTGGACTAGGAAGAAGGATCAGGAGGGCATGGGAGAGCTTTACTCTGCACCCAGCCCATCGAGGACCAGCTGAAGGTCTCGTTTGCTATGGGTTGGCCCCCTGGCCTCTCCCCACCAGCCTATTGTAACGAAGGAGAGACTCCAGGCCAGGCTCTCATCTTGGGCACAGGCTTCCTAGAGCTGGGGGTCAGCAGTTCTGTCTTCTCAGCCGAGCCGTGGCCAGCCGTGGCCAGCAAAGCTGTCAGGACAGTTTGAGTTTCTGGTCCTCCAGCCCAGCGGACTCTCACCCTCAGCTGGGCACCCCATCTCACATCACTGCATCTCGCCCCTTATTGCACGCCAGAGGGGGACCCCAAGCCTGCCTCTTTGAAGCAGGGAGCTCAGGGACTGCTTCCCACCCCCTCAGCTGAGCAGCTTTGTGGCCCCCAAGGCTCCTTATACCTTCAGCCATAACCAGGAGCACTGGGCTCACCTACTTGACCTACCCCTGCCTGGGCAAAAGCCGGATGTCCTGGGGCCTGGACTTGAGGGAGGTCCCCATCTGCTGGTGAGAGGTGGCATCACAGCCTCAGGTGAGCTGCCCCGCTCCCACCTGCGGTACCCAAGAAGCCTCTGTCCCAGCCACAGCTGATGTGTTTGGTGAGCTGTGTGTGTGGCCTCCTCGGGTTCCCTTGGTGGACATACGCATAGTCCTGGTCACTCAGCAGGTTGCCAAATCCCAGACCTCACCGAAGTACTAGATCCTCCATTGCAATCCCCACTGGGTTCCCTCTAACCTGACCCAAGGAAGTCAAGGCTGTCCGCATTCTGGGTGCTGCTACCGCAGAGGTGTGTGGGGGCTCCCTGTTTCCTGACCCCGTCTCAGTACCGCTGTCCCGTTTCTCCACTGAAGACAGGTGGTCAGGTTCAGCAGGCTCTGTGAGGCACCTGGAAGGTGGGCGTTGCCAGAGCCAGTCCTCCCCTCTCCTAGGAGTAGCCCAGTGCAATGTTCTAAAGAGTCACCAGAGATGCTGTTGACTGCAAACTCCAGAGCCTCTGGCAACCTCGATTTGTTGTTCTGCTGGAGGCTGGAATGCTGTTTTCAATCATTGCTATGGCCATAATCCTCAAACAGCGGGCATTCGACTTGGTGGGACATGCCAAGCTTGTTGACAACAACCCGAACCCCATTCTGATTCAACACCTGCTGGGGTGGAAACCAAGAATCTCTCATTTAACAATAGGACCAGGTGATTCCAGAAACAGGTAAGTTTACTTACCCTAAAGAGACCCAGTAGTAGGTAATTTTATCCTCACTGAAACGTAGGAAGGTGGAAGTGACTACCATCCCCCTGTACAAACAAGGAACCAAGCTGAGACCAACGACCAGCCCAGGGTCATAGCCAGTATGGAGCAGAGCTGAGATTAACCTGGGGATGATGCTCCAACACCTTTTAAACCTGTGTGTCTTGTATGGGTACAAATCTGAGCAAAGCAAAAGCCCAAGGAGCTGATTGCTATACCCTGGGAGTCAGGGACTGACCTCTGTTATAATGGTTCCACTTTTAAGGTGGCTTGAGATCATGAGGAATTGCTAAAACAGTGGTAAAGGGCGCAGCGAGGGACAAGGATGGGTGAGTAGGACATCTTGGCTTTGGGGCCCTGAAAGTCCTGCGTCCAATACCTGGCCCACATCTACCAGCTATGTGACCCTGGTCAAATCATCGAACCTCTCTGAGCCTCACATTTTTCATCTGTAAAACAGTTATTGAATACTCACACTGCTGGGTTGTGAGATGAGAGGGGATGTGCAGAAAATACCTGGCACATCACAGTGCTCAGTAAAGGGCGCCTGTATGAGAATAGCAGCCCTGGTCTTGGAGGCAAAGGCTGGCTTGGGTCCGGGTTGATGCTGAGTAGGTGTGACCTGGAAGAGTCACCCAGTTCACTGAGCGACATCAGTGCAGAACAGACATTAGACCCGCCCTGCCCACCTTAAAGCCCGTTGGAAGAATGGGATGGAATTATGTGTGAGAATATCTAATGAAGCTGAAAAGTAGTCCACTGATGGATGTCATCATTTTCATTTTAATTCCAGGCTACTTGCCATACTAAGAAAACCTCTCTTCCCTTCATGAATCTTTCTAAAGCCTAATGTGGAGGTTAGGTGGGGAGACCTCATTGGGATCTGGGTCCCCTGGGCCCCCTCCTCCTTCAGAAAGCTTTCCCGGATGCCCCAGGCTGGATTTGAGGTCCCATTGCTATGCTCTCTCTCAGTGCATCCAGGATTGGCCTCCACACTTTTCATTCCCTTAAATTCTTTACTTTCTCTTCCATCTACTCACCCCACCTCCCCCAGCCATCACCACCCCCTGTGAGTTCCCCCTTAGCAAGGCCCGTGTGAAATTCATCTCTGTCTGCCCAGACTAGGGGACCAGCCAGTGCTGATGAGTTGCATGCCTGGATTTCACCTCACTGGGAGTCTACTCTGTTTACTTTCTAGATACCTGTCCTTCAAAGAGTGGATCGTTCAATGTATGTGTCAACTTGAATTGACCCCGGGGTACCCAGATTAAATGTTATTTCTGAGTGTATCTGTGAGGGTGTTTCCAGATGAGATTTGCATTTAAGTCTGTGGACTCAGTAGATGGCCCTCCCCAGTGTGGGTGGCATCGTCCAATCCATTAAGGACCCGGAGAGAGCAAAAAGTGTAAGGAGTAACTCACCCCTTTTCCCCTGCCCCACTGTTGAGCTGGGACATCTCATCTCATCTTCTCCTGCCCTCAGACGGGGATTTATATCAACTCCCCTGGTTCTCAGACCTTTGGACTTGGACTCAGTTATACCACTGGCTTTCCTGGGTCTCCAGCTTGCAGACAGCAGATCTGGGGACTTCTCAGCCTTCACAATCATGTGAGCCAATTCATCATAATAAATCATATATATATATATATATCCTTCTGGTTCTGTTTCTCTGGAGAACTCTAACACATTGCCTCTTCTCTTTTTTAGAGGAAGTGTTTAAGTGAAAAGCTAGAACTTTGGGTTCTTCCTCCTACTTTTCTGCAATATTTGGATGTGGACAAAGATCATTTTGGGGTCTCCTTCCACCCAAACCCAAGAATACACTTGTCTTTCACTCCCCATCAGAATCCCCTGTACCCATCCCCATCCTCTTGGGACTCAGATATCTAACTCTGCCAGGATTTGTCATCAGAGGGATGGTTATTCCTTCAAAGAATTCATTTACATTCACACCCAGTAGGGTGGCTAAATTTTTAAAAAGACAGTGCCAAGTGCTGACAAGAATGTGGGGAAACTGGAATCCTTATGGGTGGGGATGTGAAATAGTGCAGCTACTTTGGAAAACAGTTTGGCAGTTCCTCAAAATGTGAAATATAGAGTTGCCATATGACCCAGTTCCCTCCTAGCTATATATCCAAGAAGATCTATGTCCACACAAAAACCGTCACATGAATGTTCATAGCAGCAACATTCTTAATAGCCAAAAAGCAGAACCAGCCCCAAAGCAAATCACCTGAAGAATGAGTGAGTGAAATATGGTCTATTCCTACAATGGAACATTTGGCCATAAAAAGGAATGAAGTACTAACATGCGCTGCAACCTAGACAAACCTTGAAAACATTATGCTAAGTAAAAGACGCCAGTCACAAAAGACCACATATTATCTAGTTCAGTTCGACTTCTATGAAGTGTCCAGAACAGATAAATCTATAGGAACACAAAGTAGTTCTGTGGTTGCCTAAGGGTAGGGGCTGTGGGAGAAATGGGGAGTAACTGCTAATGGGCCTGTGGTTGCTTTTTAGGGGTGATGGAAATGTTCTGAAATTGATTGTGGAGATGGCTGCATGACACTGAATATACTAAAAGCCGCTGATGTGTATGCTTAAGTGGGTAAGTGGTATGATCTGTGGATTAGCTCTCAATAAAGCTGTTTAAAGACGAGAATATATTTGCAATCAAAAGAGGTCTTTCTGGTCTTAGTGATGTGGTTCAACTCACTGGCTGGCAGGTGGCAGAGTAGCCTCACTTACCAGGTGGGATGTTTCCAGAGTGAGCTTCCTTGAGCCCTTGGTTCCTCCTGTTGCTGGGAGGGAGCATTCAGGGACCCGCACCCCACTCCCACTGAAACCACCACCACAGAAGACAGAGCACAGAAAGCAAAATGATCACTCCCACGCTTGTTCCTCACAATCGCTCTTCACACTTTTATTGTTATTTCTCTTCACATGGCAGATACAGAGCTGTCGTCTTGAAGACCACCACAGACCAGGAAACGCCACTTTTACAAAGCCATCCCCCCTTTTCAGGATTGGAACAGTTTTCCTGACCATCTGGGAGCATTGAAGGGTGACCAGCACATGTGCACATGCAAAAAAGGAGTGACCCCAAGGCCTCAGCCACACTTCCCAGCGCTCACCATGGGCTGCAGGTGACTTGCCAGGTTTGGGGTTTGTGAGCTTTCCTCGCTGCTGAAGGGGGAGCCCCTCAAGAACTGAGAGGCCGGGGTATGGCTCATGAGTGTTGACATTTACGGGACAAAAGCGTATCATTAGGATAAGGAACAGCCACAGCACTTCATGCTTGTGAGGGTTAACTGTAGGAGCCAGTGAAAGGATTACAGTTTATGAAAATTTAAAGCGAACAACGGTTTTTAGCTGGGTGGGAAACAGGAAAACTGTGATGTCGGCCAATGATCACCATTTTTCTGCCCATGTGAGGGTCCGCATGAGACCCTTTTTCTAGATCCTTATCAGACCCCATACTGCAGCCGATTGACTGACTCATTAAATAACACAAGTTATAAAACTTTAAAAATGGGGCATTTACAGTCAGGGACATAAATACGTGCTTTTAAAAGTGTCTACATACATATTTACAGAGTTGCAAGATCAACCATAGTAGCCCTGAAAAAAAAATCCCTTTATTGTGTGACAAATCGTGCTCATCAGAGCTCCCTCCTCCCACTGTGGGTTGGATAGCTCACTATTGAAATTGGAGCTGAGAAAACAGCACCCAAATGGTCTCAGACATCCTCGTCTGGGGTCTGCCCCAAAGGCACAAAACCCAAGAACCTCACCGAACTGGGTTCGAACGCCAAGCTCAGCTCACCCGTTTCTCCGAGACATGGACTGACTGTCCTCCAGACAGCAGGAGTCAGCCCCGTCCGCCCCTGGCAGGATGGCCTCCGAAATCTCTTCTTCCCCCTGTGCTTTTTAATCTTCCCATTTTTTTTTTTTTTTTTTTTTTCATTTCCCAATTTGTTTGCTTCCTATTGCAGCTAATTTGAGAAGCTCAGACACTAAAGGTGTTCGTGGTCCCGCCAAGTGTGGCAATGAAGGGCACAGGAGATCCCTCCCCTCCATACACCATCCCCGTTCCCTGCCCTTCCCAAGGGAGGAAATAGATCTGCAAGTGGGGACAAAGTCTTTCTCCCAGGTGCACCTGATTTGAGGTTCTCTGCAAAGACTCAAGAGCAATGGACTGATGAGAATTTCAAGTCTGGAAATGACTCAAGAGCCAGAAACTCAAGACACCTTAGGCAAGGAAGGGGATTTTCCATGTGCCGGGGCCAAGGGGAATGTTCAGGCTTGGCTCCAACGTGTCAATATGCTATGGATTCCCAGAGATGTTGCGGGAGAGGGAAGGTGGGGAGACAGGGGTGGTGCTGAAGGGGAACTCGGCCTCCTCCTGAAGGCCTTCCTAAGGCTGACCCCTGGGTCAGACAAAAGTCCCCATAATGGCAAAAGACAACGCAAGAAGCTAAAAGCAGGGTCAAGGAGCTCTTGAAAAATTGCATAGTAGGAGAGGCCCCACCCCAACAGGAAGGCTGAGCTGCAAAACACGGTCCCAAGAGCTGCATCCAAGTATCATCCCAAAGGACAGCGTGGAGTCGGCCGCCTTCCTGCCGCCTCGGGGTTCAGGACCCTTGTTTGAAGACCACTCGCGCACCCGCACGAGAACCCCTGAACACACACGCACGCACACATGCATGCACGCACACATGCACGCACGCACATGCACTCCCTTTCTCTCGCAGGCTCACACAACTGGGATAGGTCGGTACTCCCTGCAGGGCAGACTGCCAGTCCCTTTGGCTTCACTGATTCCAGGTCACTTCAGGTGCTGAGGAGAAAAAGAAAATAAAAATAATAACAGTGAGCACATATTCAGTGCCGATCACGGTAGTCCATGCGTTATTGCGCTTAATTTTGTAATTAAACTGTTTATTGAAACATACCATACATACAGCAAAAAGCACAGCTTGATGAATTTTCACAGTGAATACACCTGCAGAGCTGGCACCCAGATGAAGAACCAGAACATGACAGTTGCTCATCAGCCCCCAACCCGTGACCCCTTTAAGGATACATGAACCCTCCTGCCCTCTGGAAGAACCACTGTCCTCACCTCTAACACCGTAGACTGATTTCACCCATTTTTTAAGTTAAATAAATAGGGTCAATCAATACATCTCCTCCTGTGTCTGGCTTTTTCCACTGAGTGTTTGTGAGAGTCACCCATTCTGCACGTGTGGTTGATGTTTTCAACCTTGTTGTTGTGTAGTGTGCTACTATAGAAATACACCACCTCTATCCATCTACTCCTCTGCTGATCCACTACTGGGAACTTCCAGTTTGGTGCCATGTGAGTCATGCTGCTAGAACATTCTTGTATGTGTCTAGAAGACAAGTATGGTACATATATGTATGCATTTCTGCTGAGCAGAAGTGCTGGGTTGTAGGACGTTCATAGATAACATATCAGCATTCTCGCAGTTGTTTCCTGGTGCACGTGGGTACATATCTACTGAATGTGTCCCCAGCAGTGGGACTGCTGGGTCCTGAGGTACCCACGTGTTCAGCATCAGTCGACACTGCCAAACAGTCTTCCAAAATGATGGTACTCCCGCTTATTTTCCTTTGGATGTTCACAACAACCCTCATGGCAGGCAGCACAGATCCCCATTTTATATGAAAGAAATGGAGGCTCAGAGAGGAGCAATAACTTTTACAAGTCTGCCGATGATGAGCAGCAGAGGTGAGGCCTGAACCCAGGTCAGGCTCATTCACTCCAGCATCTGTGTGCTCTTCCAGTCAGGAGGGGATGGCTGTTCCCGCATGCTTCCTCCGCAGAAACCACATTTACAGTGCTTAGTCCAGAGCTGAAAATATGGGTGAACCCTTAGTAATGTTCACTAAAGACCAGGCGCGGTGGCTCACACCTGTAATCCTAGCACTTTGGGAGGCTGAGGTGGGCAGATCATTGGAGGTCAGGAGTTCGAGACCAGCCTGGCCAACATGGTGAAACCCCGACTCTACTAAAAATACAAAACTTAGCCAGGTGTGGTGGTGGGTGCCTGTAATCCCAGCTACTCAGGAGGCTGAGGCAGGAGAACCCCTTGAACCCGGGAGACGGAGGTTGCAGTGAGCCAAGACTGCACCACTGCACTCCAGCCTGGGCGACAGAGTGAGACCCTGTCTCAAAATAAATAAATAAGTAATGTTCACTGCATTGGTTTGAAGTGGCTGGGCCAAATTCAGGGATACAGTTCTCTTGCCCAGTGAACCTGGTCACTACTGCTAAAAATAACTACTGCTATTATTATTACTACAGTTCATAATGTCACATTTCAATAATAATAAAACCAGTTGTTCATGGAAGGCTTACTGCATACCAGGCACTTTGCTAAGGGCTTTTCATTCAGTCGCTATGCAATCCTCTCAACAAACCCACGACAGAGGTATTATTATTATTAACCCATTTCACAGATGCGTGAATTGAAACACAAAGGAGTGAAGTAGCCGCTGAAGGCATAGCCCCAGACACTGTGCACCTAACCACTACGCTATGTTCATTTCAATTCCCTGAAATGTCTCGATGGGGCTGGAAAGGGCTGTTTGCAGGGAGTGGGACACTGTGCACCTAACCACTATGCTGTGTTCATTTCAATTCCCTGAAATGTCTCCATGGGACTGGAAAGGGCTCTTTGCAGGGAGTGGGACACTGTGCACCTAACCACTATGCTGTGTTCATTTCAATTCCCCGAAATGTCTCCATGGGACTGGAAAGGGTTGTTTGTGGGGAGTGGACTGTGCACCTAACCACTATGCTGTGTTCATTTCAATTCCCTGAAATGTCTCCATGGGACTGGAAAGGGTTGTTTGTGGGGAGTGGGATGTCTTCAAGAGAGGGCGTGTCCCTTCCCAGAGGACGCCCGTTTATGCAGCAGACTGGCCTGTCTGCCTGTGCCCATGAGCCAGGGCAGGGGGAAGAAAAGGAAGCAGAGGCGGGGCCAGCTCTGGAGTGGCTGCATTCCCTTGGCCTGGCGTAGCCAGCAAGTGTGGGGCTCCCCTGGGCCACGTGGGATCCATTAAAGAAGCCATCTTGCCAGTCCCCCACCGAGAGGGCAGCCCTCTGGGGAGGTCACAGCTGCAGGAGCTGGCGGCTGGACCTGAGGTGGAGGGGAGCTCTCATACAAGGGAGATGGGCCAGGATGGGCAACCTCCACATACCCCACTCCCAGGAGCCCAGAAGAGAGCCCATGTCAGAAATCCTGCCCACAGAGGGCCCTGGGGCTGCCGGTCTTAGCCAAAGGAACAGCAACAGTCGAGAGAAGGATCACAATGGTGGCCAGACAAGTGAGAGGCTGTCCCTTCCCTGGGCCTCTCGCTGAACCCCTGGGGTGGGAAAGATGCGGGGTAAAGACAGGATGTGCAAAGGAAGCCTCCCTATAGACTAGGCAGTGCGGCACTTTTCTGCACTTAAAAGTGAACAGAAACCTCTGGGCTTTGTGTGAGCCACAGTAAAGGGGGTGCCGCAGAGACTGGTGAAAGGCAGTGCTGGCCAGAAATCCCACTTCTCCGTGTTCATTCTTCCTGCATTCAGACCGTCCGGGAGACGCGTGACGAAGCCTTGAATTCGGAATGGGCAAGAGCAGGCAAAGCAGCCAAGGCCGTGGGTCCTTCAAGAAGGTCAATCTTTTCTCTGAACAAAACCCACACGCGCACACAGTTTTGCATGAAGGAGGCACGGTCCACTTAAAAGTCCAGGATCGGTCCTGGGAATCAGGAGACCAGAGTGTTGATGCCAGTTCTGCCACACACCCCTTCATGTCAGTTTCCGTCTCTGTAAAATGAGGGCTTTGATCTGCACACCTTCCTGAACTAAAAGACTTCGCTGTGGCATTTTGATAAATCTGGAACTGTGTTAAACAGTGCTATGGACTGAACTGTGTCCCCCTAAAACCCTGATGCTGAAGCCCTAACCCCGCCATATGATGGTATTTGGAGGTGGGGGCCTTTGGGAGGTGATTAGGGTTAGATGAGATCATGAAGCAGGGCTCATGATGAGATGAGTGGACTTCTAAGAAGAGACACCAGAGAACTTGCTCTCCCCCAGGTCCCCGCCACGTGAGGACACCACAATAAGGTGGACATCTGCAAGCCAGGAAGCAGGCCCTCACCAGAACCTGGCTATAGTGGCACCCTGATCTGGTACTTCCAGCCTCAAGAACCATCAGGAAATAAATTTCTGTTCGACATTTAAAGCCACGCAGTCAGTGGTATTTTGTGATGGCAGCCTGAGCTTAAGGCAAACAGTATAAAGAAGATCTTTTAAAAAATTATTTTAAAAATAATAAAAGTAGCACATGCTTGGTGTAAGTACCAATTTATAAAATGGAAAAAAGCTACCTAAGATTTTAAGGAGCAAGTTTCAGTCACTTAGACATGAAACTGCTCAGTTTGGAGCCTTCGTTGTTGGTGAGCAAACAGAGACTGTAAGATGCAGAGGCAAATGACGTTAGGCCTCTCTTCATTTGATCGCTTAGCTTGGGAAACTGTATGCGTTTTTAAAGAAGGAAAAAGAAGGCCACCACCTAGGACAGTGCCTGGCCCTGGGGCAGAGCCTAAATTCATAAGGCTTGGCAAATGCTATGTACATTTCATCTTCGTCATGGCCAAGCCTGCAGTGGCCGACAGAAATGGCCCAGTCTGTTTCGGAAGGAAGCCAGCCCAGTTGCACCTGGCTCTCCCTCCGGCTGCAGAGAACACCTGCTCTGGGGTGGAAGCAATTCCCCGGTGCCCATCAACACAGAAGGTTCATGCAGCAGCCTTGGCCACAAAGAGGATGCAGGACACAAATGGTTCCCAGAGTTGGAATTGCTCATCCTGGTATGGCCTCTCATTTTCCAGAAGACTCTAGCCACGTCCTATGTCTCTTCTCTTGGGGCCTCAATTTTTCCATCTATAAAATGGGAGGTTCATCTCCCAGGGCCTCCGAGTTCTGTACTATCTTAGAGTCCATTTCAACATTGTTCCATGAGACTTCAGCTCAGGGTCTAGTCTCCAGGTTCCCCTGTCAGGGAGCAGCTGACCCCAGAGAGACAGGTTCGGTTCCAGTGGCAGACAACAGACTCTCTGGGGAAGAGTGGATTTTATTTTTGCTCCCTCCCCAAACCCCAGAGAATAAAGCCAAGCCGGAAACTCCAACTGCTTTAGAAAGAGAGAAGTAAACAGCCAGGCGCGGTGGTTCACGCCTGTAATCCCAACACTTTGGGAGGCAGAGGCGGGCAGATCACGAGGTCAGGAGATCAAGACCATCCTGGCCAACATGGTGAAACCCCGTCTCTACTAAAATACAAAAAAAAAAAAAAAATTAGCTGGGCGTAGTTGCGGGCGCTTGTAGTTCCAGCTACTCAGAAGGCTGAGGCAGGGGAATCTCTTGAACCTGAGAGGTGGAGGTTGCAGTGAGCCAAGATCGCGCCACTGCGCTCTAGCCTGGCAACAGAGCGAGACTCTGTCTCAAAAAAAAAAAAAAAAAAAAAAAAGGAAAGAGAGAAGTGAGGTCTTGGGGAAGGAGGGCAGGCAGAAGGAAGAAAGGGTCTTCTCTTCCTGGCATAACACAAAAGACCTCAGAGTTTCAGAATCCAGCCCATTCTTGCCTTGAACTACACTCATTCCAAACGACCCTGGCTTGTTTTAACCCCTGCCTTGTGTTAAGCAGGCGTCCCTAAACCTAAGTGTGTCCCAGAACCCAGGGGGTCATCTGCTAGTGCAGGTTCCCTGGTCACACCCACCAGGATGGGCCCGTGCCAACAATACCCACCCACAAATACAAGCAGGGCTGTGGTGGGTGGTGGCCAGTCCCCTCTCCCATTAACCCTGTATTCAGCGTCTGTCCTGTGCCAACCACTTCCATGCCGGGTATCTCACTGGGCTGATGTGACTTCCCACAGAGATGTGAACTCGGGATTTTTTTTTTTTTTTTTTTGAGATGAAGTCTCACTCTGTCACCCAGGCTGGAGTCCAGTGGTGTAATCTCGGCTCACTGCAAGCTCCACCTCCCGGGTTCAAGCCATTCTCCTGCCTCAGCCTCCCACGTCGCTGGGACTACAGGCACCCACCACCACACCTGGCTAATTTTTTTGTATTTTTAGTAGAGACGGGGGTTTCACTGCGTTAGCCAGGATGGTCTCAATCTCCTGACCTCGTGATCTGCCCTCCTCGGCCTCCCAAAGTGCCGAGATTACAGGCGTGAGCCACCGCGCCTGGCCGAATTTGGGAATTTTTAATGGGGTTTGGCTCTATTCATACTATAGTCCAGTAATTGGGATTTGAGCCTTTTTGGCCATTTTGTATATTTGGAAGTGGACTCTGAGATCTGTATTTATAACAGCATCTTAGATCTTCTGATGTGTGAGGTCCTCTGATCACACTTTGAGATGCTGGCCTTGGGGACACAATGAATGCGGTTGTGTGGTGTCACCAACAGGGAGGACCAAGCCTGCTCATCGGTCACCAGCAGAACCCAGGTACTCCACAAATGAAAAGTCTGGTTTCCACGCTGTTATCCAACAGAAATCTTAGAGTGATTCCATGCTTCTACTATCAGAAAACCTAGAAAGAGACTGTTTTGGTCCAAAATAAATCTGAGTTTTCTATTTCATGGATTAGGACAGATTACATATCCCTTATCCGAAATGCTTGAGACCCAAAATTTTTTGGATTTTGGATTTTTTTTTTGGATTTTGGAATATTTGCATACATACTTACTGGTTCAGCAACCCTAATCCAAAAATCTGAAATCTGAAATGTTCAATGAGCATTTCCTTCGAGTGTCATGTCCTTACTCCAGTTTCAGATTTTGAGGCATTCCAGAGTTTGGATTTTTGGATTAGGGTTACTCAGCCTGTATTTTTTTTACTTTCAAATACATTGTGAGAATAGGAACTCTGCCATCTTTTCTGGTCTTAAGGCCTCTGAGGCAATTGAGAACTGAGTATAATTAGTATTTTTATCATTATTACTCCAGTAATGACTTACCTAGTGCTTACTATGTGGCTGGCACTTCTGGGTGCTTTGCACATTTGACACTTGTAATTCTCACAACCACCCTATAAAGTAGGTACTATTGTAGTGCCCACTGTACAAATGTGGAAACTGAGGCTCAGAAAGACTAAGTAATTTGCTTGAAGTTCGCAGCCAGGAAGTGGCAGAGCTGGGATGTGAAACAGGTGGTCCAGAGTCGGCACTCAGCCACACACCCTCCTGGAGGGAGACCCTGCGCCGTGCCTGGTTCACACAAGCAATCACGCTCACCCCTTTCTCTCCTTCCCTCCCCACCCAAGACCCAAGCCCACATCCCCTCGACCCCCAGACCCACCCACACAGTGCCAGAAGCCGTTCCGTCCTGCCTCGTACCTGTCAGGGAGCAGGCAGAGTGTCTACTCTTTGAAGAATGGTCCCTGGAACTGGGCTGCAGCCGGGGCTTTGACCTTCCTACACTGCCTGGTGATGTACGGGGCCGCTGGTGGAGAGCATCGGGATGCCAGGCGGAGGCTGTAGCTGTGTAGGAAGAGGAACAACACACATTGTCACCAGGAGCCCAGCCCAGTGCCCTAGACATTGCTGGGGGGCTTCCTTAGTGCTGGTCACCACTTCCCAGGCCTGGGCAGGACTGCACTTCCTGGACAACTTGAGGCCAGGTGCCTGGCGTCAGCTAACAGGACATGAGCTTAAACCACCAATGTGTACTTCTCCATGTCCGATCCACCAATTCTCTCCCCTCGGAGGCGACTGCAGAAGCACGGGCAAGAGGAGTGTCCATTGGGCTGGTTCTGAGACACCATGATGGGCAGCACCGTCTGGTGACCCCCAGTGGATATGCAGGTGAGCCAGAATGATTCCGATTGCATCAGAACAACGGCTTTGCCCTTCTCTGATTCTATTTCCCCAGGTGCCTCCCTGTTCTCCCCTCCTGCCAGGCCCTAACACCCATAAGGCAGAAAGCATCTGGGGAGGTTACTGTTATCAAAGTACAAACACACCTGCACATGGGCTGGGTTGTGGGGGATGGAGGCAGGTCCCCTCCCTGCCTTTAACCCCACACTCCACATCTATCCTGTGCCAAGCACTTCCATGCTGAGTATCTCACGGGGGTGACGTGGCTTCCCAAAGAGGTGAATCTAGGATTTTGGGGGGGCATGGTTTTACCCTATTTGTACAAAAAAGCTCCCCTGCCCCACCCCAGTAAATGGGATTTGATTTTTTTCAGAAGGGCCTTTTAAAAATTTATTTAAAAGATAGATGATTCACACCATTATTCCTCTCCTTTCCTCACTCAGCTAACTCATCCTTCTCTCCCATATCCCAGCTGGGATGTTACCTCCTCCAGGAAGCTTTCCTTCTTTAACTCCTGGATGGGGTGTTCCTCCAACAGGCCCCTTACGTGTCCCCATCCCAGCACTTGTTACGCTGAATTAAAAGCCCAGAATAAGGTGTTTGCCTTTCTCATGAGCCCTGAGATCCCAAGGTCAGGATCTTTGTCTCGTTCATTGTTGCATCCCCAGCTTGGCACAATAAAAATAAACATCCGGCCAGGTGCGGTGGCTCATGCCTGTAATCCCAGCACTTTGGGAGGCCGAGGTGGGTGGATCACCTGAGGTCAGGAGTTCAAGACCAGCCTGGCCAACATGGTGAAACCCTGTCTCTACTAAAAATACAAAAATTAGCCAGGCGTGGTGGTGGGTGCCTGTAATCACAGCTACTTGGGAAGCGGAGACAGGAGAATCGCTTGAACCCAGGAGGCAGAGGCTGCAGTGAGCTGAAATTGTTCCATTGTACTCCAGCCTGGGCGACAGAGCAAGACTCCATCTCAAACAAACAAACAAACAAACATCCACTGAGTAAGAGTGATACATACAGGCTCACTGCGTGTCCAGAACTGTGCTAGGCATTTTCCACAGACAGACAATCTAACTCTTCACACAACCTACCCAGGTGGATACTGTTATTATCCTTCATTTACAGATAAGGAAACTGAGGCACAGAGAGCCTGTCACCTGTCTGCCTCTCTAGATGGAAGAATGGAAAGTGAGGGGGTTCTCCAGACAAGGTGGCCCAGGTCAGAGGAGGCGGGAGGCCAGGCAGGTAGGAAAGCAGGAGGGACAAACACGCCCGGAACCCCACCTGCTCTGGTGGTTTGCAGAGCCAGCTCTTCCTGAGGGAACAGGAGATGGGAATGGAGTCCAGCTCAAAGCTGGCACATGGCAGAGTTCACATCAGTGGCTCCCAATCAGGGCACACACTTGGTAATGTCTGGAGACACTGTTGGCTTTCACACCTGAGAGAAGGGTGCTGCTACTGGCATCTGGAGGGTAAGGCCAGGGGTGCTACTAAACCTCCTACAGTGACCAGGACAGGCCCCCGCAAAAAAGATTTAACCAACCCCAAATGCTGATAGTGCCAACGCTGGCAAGGGAGCCCTCAATCAATATTAAAATACGCAAATGTATCAACAGACGAGCAAATGTAGAAGGTGCCGGAGAAAAGCCTTTAGACAAGACAAAGAGACCTGCTGTGACGGGGGAAACGAGTGAGCCTCCCCCGAGGGCCTGGCTCTCCGTCAAGGTCAGGGCTGCCCCTGTTTGAATTCCTCCCCCGTGCTGTGCAGCCAAGGCCCACGGCCAGCTCAGTCTACTCGCCTGTGCAGGAGTTAAGGAAGGAACGGAGGACCCACGCTTCATGCAACTGTGCTCCTGACGGGCCACCAAGGCCCATGAGGGGGCCTGAGGTGGGGGGCTGTCTCTGCAGCTAGGGGCCACCCCCCACCCCCATTCTAGCTGGCTGGTGCCCCAGGAGACCCAACCTGGGAGGAGACAGCCAGCTGGGAGGCTGCTGGAGACATGGACTCCTATGTCCTGTTGGGGAATAAGAAACAGAGCTGGCAAAGAGCAGGTCCCTTCCCTACGACGTCACCCTTCCTAGGGAAATGTCTACAGTGGTGTAGCAAGACCAGCAGAAGCTTTGGAGGCAGACATGCCCTGCGTCATCAGCACCCAGCTTCTCCTTCTCTCTGTTATTAAATATCCAAAAGCCAGATCAATCACACAAAAACAACACCCCGTTCTCCCAGGCCTCTCTAGCCAGCCAGTGCGTCTCCGCTCCCTTTGGCTCCTGCGGATGCAGCAACCACAGCGTCTCCACCAGGGGGCGCGCCTCCTCCCCCGGCTCATGGCGTCCACCTGGGTGGAGGGAGTGGGTCCGGCACAAAACCCCTGAAGGCAGAGGCCCCTCTGCCACCCCTCATCCACTGCCTGGCCTAGTGGAGGACCACGCCAGCCAACATGAACATGGCCTCCATGACTCCCAAGGACTTTCTCTGCTTTCTCTCTGAACCCTCCCAGCAGCCCAGGAAATAGGAAGAACAAGTACTTTCATACCCCTTTCACAGATGAGAAAACTGAGGCTCAGACGGATATGAAGAGTTTCCCAGGGGAGCAGAGCGCAGGCCTTTCGGCTCCTGGGGCCACAATTTTGAAGAAACACCAGGTCACCAATTGGGTGCTTCCTGTTAGGATGGGGACAGGACGTCCTGGGGGATTGTCCTTCCTGATCAAGAAGCACTTCACTGTCAAAGAACTCATGAGAGCACAGCACCCCAAGCCTGGAGATGTTAAATACCGAGGACCAAAGCTCCGGAGTTGGGTGCTTCTCCAAGGCACAGTAGCAGTTAGCGCAGAGCCTCATGATTCTTGGTTACCACCCACTAGCTGTGTGACCTCAGCGAATCGTGGACCTGTCTGCGCTCCAGGTTGATCTTCTGCAAAGCAGGAAGCCCAATTTGGGGTTACAGTAATGATTAACTTTGGAGAAAAGTCTCCGTGCAGGGCATCCTGGCCCTCTAGTAAGTGTCAGTACAGTGTCGTGACTGTGGCAGTTGTGGGTGGTGGACACATATGGAGAAGTCATCATCCCAGGAGGATGCAGTATGGCCACCTGGGGGTGGCCTCCGATCCTCATTCTCATTGACTGTATGGCTCAGGGTAAGCCACTCCCTGTCTCTCGGCCTCGGAGCCTCAGTTTCCCCCTCTGTAAAATGGAGACAGTCGGCTGGGCGCGGTGGCTCAAGCCTGTAATCCCAGCACTTTGGGAGGCCGAGACGGGCGGATCACGAGGTCAGGAGATTGAGACCATCCTGGCTAACACGGTGAAACCCTGTCTCTACTAAAAAAAATACAAAAAACTAGCCGGGCGAGGTGGCGGGCGCCTGTAGTCCCAGCTACTCGGGAGGCTGAGGCAGGAGAATGGCGTAAACCCGGGAGGCGGAGCTTGCAGTGAGCTGAGATCCGGCCACTGCACTCCAGCCTGGGCGACAGAGCAAGACTCCGTCTCAAAAAAAAAAAAAAAAAAAAAAATTGGAGACAGTCCCTGCCAGCCTGCCAACAGAGAGCAGGGCTGGAAGCATTTTGGTGACCAGGATTGGGAGCATTTTGCTTTCTGGGAAGAATCCGGCACATGTGAGATGCTCCTACTGGGTATGACCCCAGGAAGCATCGGAGCAGGAGGTGAGCCAAGGTCCTGACTGGTCCTTAAAGACTGAATGTCAAGACAGACTTCTGTGTCAACGCTTTAGTCAGACTTTTGGCTCAAACTCCTGTGCAGAGCTCCACACTGGCACATCCACTGCCTGCCCGGCCCCTCCACTTGGATGTCTAATGAGCGTCTCACTTTAACATGGCAAAGTGGCACATCCTAGGGTCCCACCTTGCTCCCGCCCCTACTAGGCTCCAGCCACACCGGACACTTGTCACTCTTAGGAAATGGCAATGCCAAACGTGTTGTTGTTACAACTAAAGCCCGGTAGCACCTTTCTTCCTCTTCTATTCATTTTGCTGCTTCGGATTGGCCATAGAGCTAGAAACCACACTCATTTGAAGCAGGTGCACTGTCAGGGCAGTGTGCTGTGATCATGGGGCCTGTGAGACCCCCGCTGTGCCCACCCCCAAGCTGATCCATCTCCGGGTTCCTTAACTCTGCCTCCAAGTCCACACACCTCTCTCCACTCCCACTGCCACCACCCAGCTCAACCTGTGGCATCAATGCCTTCCACGAGGACTGCGGCAATTGCCACTGCATTGTCCCCACTTTGATGCTGCTCCCCACCCCCACCAATCCATTCGCCACTAAGCAACAAGAGAAGCCTTTATAAGGACCATTGGACATGACCACGACACTGGACCACGTCACTGCCCAGTGCAAAAGTGTCCCAAGCCTTCCCACACTATTAGAGTGCTGTGCGCCTGCCCGCCACTCTGCCGGTCCCCTCACGCACTCTGCGTTTGCCCTGTGCACTTGTCTCTCAGCCAGGCCAAGCTCTTCTTACCTGGTTGCTCCCCGCTTGACTTTGCCCTGCCCTGCCCTCCTCTGCCCGCAGCTCCCTCCCTCCCATCTTTTGGGTCTCAGCTTCAGTGTCTTCTGAAAGAGGCCTTCTTTGACCTCCCCGTGTTAGCGGCCACCCCAGCCCTGTTCTCATAGCCTCTGGAGTTTCCTTTCTGTCTTCCTTG